CCGACTTCCCCTGTTCAGACACCTTCAGCCAGTTCACCTTCTGGAGAGAGCAGTTACCAGAGGTAGACAAGCAGGATCAACATGCCAAGAGCAGCTGAAAGGACATACAGTTCTGTAAAATGATAGCATCCCTTACAAACTCAGCTCTGACGCTGCACTGCCATAGGTATTCCTCTATGCACAAGAAACTTAGCACTTTGCAGACCCCATGCCGCCCTCTGCCTGTTCCTTCTTTATTTTACATTTTTACAAACATTTATCATTTCTGTGTGTGCTAATATTTCGTTTTACTGGAAATAATCTGGTAGCATATTACACAGCTCATATTAGGGAATTTGTTTATTGTTTATTGGTGAGGTTACAGTTATTTTAAAGTGCCAAAAATGTTATTCATAACCAAAAAGACAATTACATTATGCTATTAAAAAAAAGTCTATTGGCTTTGTCCAAGGTTGTAAAGATGTATGAGGGAATACAGTTATTTTAGTACATAGTATAAAACGTTTTTGAGCATTTGTTATAAAACATGCTGAGAGAAATTTAAAAGTTTCATCAAATTAAAAAATTTAAAACAATAATAAATTAACTCAGATGTAGGTATAAAGCCAGTTTTAGTATATCTCAGGTGATACAGAATTTACACAAGGTAGTCTTTTGAAACTAAAAGTGACCTTTCATAACAAAAAATATTAACTGTCAGTTTTCATGTTTTTTTTTTTTACATCTAAATTATTTTACTACTCCATTTCCTTAACAAACGCAAGTGGATCGATTTTAATTGTGCCATCCTGGACACTTTTTTACCACATACTCACTTTACATTTTGCCAAATGCTTATTATTTATTATGTGATAACTTTCCATTCCTTATTATTTGTGTGTATTTTATGTAAAGTTCATAACTCTGACCAGCAAATATGAATCATGCAGAAACTGATTTTGTCATAAGTCATACCCGTTAGCATTTAAAGAAAAACAGAAACTAAACAAAAGCAAACAACAATGCAAAGAATACTCAGGTCATTAAGTATTTCTTACCTGTATTAATTCCTTCATATTAATGTCATATTTAATACATCTTACTCATTTTCATAAAATATATATATAAACACACGCCTGAGATTTTTTTTTTTTTTGCGCTTATTTCAATAATTAAGAATATAAAATCTCCTGATTCATGGTGCATACTATTATTGTGTTAATTTTATTTTATTTTTTAAACAATCTTTATATTCTACCAACACCAAGACCTTTACCCAGTTGTGTCTATTGTTTCTATCTTATTAAAGGATGAAATGGACTGTGTATTATGAAAGCACTGTATACTGAAATATGTCTCTAGCAAATGAATAAGGTTTTTGTGTGATACGTACTGTAAATGGACATGCTCTTGTTTATTCTTAAGTCTGTGGTTTTCCATGGTTATCAAGGAGCACATTAAATAAGCACTGATGTGATGCATGAATGATGAATGGGCTTTAGGGATTGATTTTAAAGAACTGTGTAGTTTAACGTATACCGTGTTATTGTTCTGCAATGAAAAAACAGAGTATATGATATAGATGTGTGCAACATGAAAATGCAAATTGTACTGATCTCTAATTGGTTCAGTTGGTGATACAAGCTTATTATGACAGGTGACTGCTACAAACTTCAACACTGTGAATGATCAGGTCAAACATAGATTGTTTATGCTCTTTCTACCTATCTTACAATATTTAACATCTTCAGTTCATTAAGAGTTCTTATTCTAAACAAAAAAGCTGAATAATATAAGACTGTGTAACATGTTCTCTGTTTATATGAATGGTAACACCAATAACATTCAGTTGTAAAAGTTTTTGTTCTGTTTGCAGTCTCTATGGAGTTTTATATTCTTTCTGTGAAAGATCTTGTTGCCGAAGTTGTGGCAGTTGAGTTTGTGTGTCGTTATGTTTAGTGTTGAGATGTAAAACTACAGTTGTGTGTATATTTTAAGATGCCAGATCTCAATGTGTAAATTAAAATCCCATTACATGAATCCAAAAAACATGCTTTTTATGTTTCTTGTTTATCTGTGCCATACGGAAACAACCTACCTTGGTGTTACTGTAACTAAGCAGACTGAGTACAGTTCATAGCTTCTCGTCAATAGTGTTAAAAATCACACTGAATAGATTCTTCACCTCTTCAGGTCTTATATGACGAGCTTCAGTTTCCCTTTTCACGCAGATACTCGGCTAAAATACAAACATTATTATCAAATAGTTGAGCAGAAAAGTTTATTTTGAAAAACTTTTGTGTAAGATTTTAGCTCACCTAGTTTCTCAACTGCTTCCACACAGATACTCGGATACATGCTCTGTGAATATGTGGCAACAATCACATACAGTGCAGTTCTCACCAATATCAGGCCATGTCCTTCCTAAACAAAAACAGTAATGAAAAATCAGTGAATGATGTGTTTACATTTGCAACTTTTATTATGAGTCAATGAGGTGATGCACTTTTTTTTGTTTGGATCTCGTT